TACCTTTCACCAGCACCGGAGGGAGCTCCAATTCGATCTCCAAGCAAAAGCTCTTTAATCATCTATTCAATCTAGTGTACTATATACTGAAAACTACTATTGAAAATGATTTCTCTCAAAAGCCTTCATTCACTTCACTTTACATCTGCTTTAACATTCCTTTTCAAAGAACCTGCTTGTACAAACACAGTCAGCTTTTGCCAACATTGGAGATGAAATGTTTAATCCAAGGACACAGTTTCCAGTAAGGGAGGAAAGCCCAGTAATCATTAATTTTCCCTGTCCTGATTTTACAGGTGACACACCAGGGATAAGCTTACCTCTCTCACGTTGAGGCTTCCACCGCCCCCTGCTGTTCATCGTGGCACAGTTTGGTGCAGTTTGTCCTTGTTTTTCCAGGCCCATGAATCTTGCATGCAGTGGATATTTTGATCCATGACAGTGCATATTCCACAGGCAGCTGCGTTCCATCTCATCAAATACGGTCGTCTGTTTCTCTGCCAGTGCTGATGGAGGAAAGTCTTTGGCATCTCATTATTAATTGAATTAAGGGAGGTATTTCTGGAACAAGGTGAGTTCTGAGCCTGGTAACAAAGAATTATTTATGGTGTGCTTTGAAATTCCCAGGCACTAATGGGACTGAGCCCATCACTGTCTATACGGATAAGAACATCGATGCTCATACGCAGACATTATTTTACCGCCTTCTAGTGTAAATACAAACCAGTCTGGACAGAGATGCTTTGGCTTGGCATTAGTTAAAAGTACAAAAATATAAGAATGTTATTTCATGATTTAACAAATAACATACACGAAAAGTAGCAGTTATCTGGTTATGATATTCATAGTTGGGAACAACTCTCAATTTTATCAGCTCTGTCAAAGATTCAGCCCTGTGTTGAATCATCAAGGCACTATTCATACCTTGCTCACTCATACCTGTCACTCTGGTGCTAAAAAAGCACCTAAATATAGGTGTTATATGCTCTGAAAACGAAATAAATGTCAGGGAATAAGGCTGAGGCTAGTTATTCCAAAAGAAAAATCATAAATCATATTTACTGCATGGGAAGGTCATGGAAGAATCAGCTTATCCAGTTCAATCATGCCAACACGCCTACCCTTTTTCCACTGATCCTTTATTCTGTAGTGTATGTAGAATTGACCTTGGTGCTAATGAGCTGCTGGAGATACAGTATAGCTGGTAGCCCTGAGGTCAAACTGGGGACAACAGAAAAGGAAACATAGCAATAGTGATGAAGCTCTCACATTTACTTTCAGTGTATCAACGGCATCTCAATAGTTTGTCAAGTTTATGATGAACCGCAACACAGAACATTAAATAAGTTTCTGTACAGGAGCTTGTCTATAGATAGCTTGACCATAGATAGTAATTTCACATGTAAACTACAGTTGTTCAGATGTTTAAAATGACCCTCAAATACTTGTAATCCATGTGTGCACATACAATACACCTGTTATAGAATGATATATAATCTTGCCTGCATATTAATGACGAAGACAAAGAATGACTATTATTTTGTCAGAACTGTGATCTGAGACTTTTCACTTCCTGATAAAATAATGCTCTTGAAAATGTATATAAATGCTCTTTAAATGTACAAAATTATTTTTCAAGTAAGGGATATATGGGAAAAAATAGATAGGATAAGGACTAATTTCATATTTAAGGCTGCAGGTTTTGCATTGGAGGGGGGGGGGGATTGAGGGCCATACTACAGTATTGGAAAGAAAAGGAAGTGCAGTCAGTCAGAATGTTGTTTCCTTTTCTTTGCTGAAATGTCAGGTAGAGCCCAGTTACCACTAGTTTAGGTACACTCTGCTCTCCAAAATCAGGTGTGATTACAGCATTCTGAACTGAGAAAATTGAGGGTCAGGGGAGAAACGAGGGGTCGTGGGCGTGTGAAGATGGAAAGGAGCACTGGGTCATTAGTCTTTGATGGTTTTTTTTTCTCTGATGTGACCCATAACTAATTCTCCTCCACATTTTTTACATGAAATATCTGTGTGCAGGACTTTATTATCTATGAATATATTAATAACTCTATCTATCAATGTGTGATTTTGTTTATGTCTATTAATTCCAGGTCTTGCTCACCACATTAATAACCTCTTCCCCGTGGCAACTGCATGCCTATGGTTTCAAGGTTGACTTTACTGTGCAAAAGAATCCCTTGCTAATCCAGACTTTAGCCCCCTACCTCAACTCCCCATCCATCCAGAAAATCTCCCGGGATATGCCCTTAGCTCACGTGCATGAATCCATCATTGGGAATTATGTGGAAAAGTGGTCGGGTCCTAGTTAGAAACTAGAACGGATAAATTTTTACGGCAATGAACAGTATCACAAGAACAATGTTATTCTCTCTCCAAACTAGCTGTCTTTTGTGTCATGGCTACAAGCTATTATAACAATGGATTGGGAATCATGAGGGACTAATGGGATGGTGTATGGGGGTCCCGTGGGACATGAGTGGTATTACATTGTTCTGTCTCAAAGGGGGTGAGACAGAAAGAAACTAGCCTTGGGAGTAGATAAGAGACATGAGGAATTTATGTTCGATAACCCTATTATCATCTGACTTTTGTTTGCTTTGGACACGCTTCAGCATGTGCAATTATTTGCTTAACTTAAATTCAGCAAATCAGCAATACATATTTATCGTTATTTTAAGAAAATGCAGTTAGATTAGTACAGATGAGGGCAGTGCAGATGTAGTGAAGGAGGTCTGGAGTGGACAACAGCAAAAGGACCACGATGGGATGAAAATAACAAATAAGAATGGTGGAAGAAGTGATTTATCCGTTCCTATCCACCCTCTAGTCCGCATACTGAGATTTCCTTGAACTAAACTGCTCAAATATTTTTCTTTATTGCATACTTTATGTTGGTTTTTACTTGAGCATTCACTGCACTTGTGTATAATGTAGCTGCCATTATTCAAGCCACATAGTACTGAGAAGTGAAATGGCTCTGCTTTGCTCGATGATATTCCGATTCACAGTAACACTTTTCGCTCAGGAAGTCTCAGGGGAGGCTTTGGCCTTGTGAATAAAAACTCTCATTCAATAAAACAAAATCAGTCCAACTTTCACAGCTGATATTTTATTTTGTTTTATTTTGCAGGTTTCCAGGAATAAAGAAACTTGTCCAAAATGCTCTGTATCATCACTCTACTGGAGTTGGGACGATGGTGAAGTGGTTGTTGACTTGGCAATCTTTTCTGTGTACTGTACAGCTGCCATCAGGCAACACCCGATACAGTATGCCACCCTGGGACAGAAACAAGAAGGTAAACACCATACAGATGTCCATTTAACTTCAAAGAATCTCTCTTATTACTAAAATGTGTAGCCATGTTTGTGTATCCCGGCAATAATCACAGCATCATTGTCTGACTTTGCCATTACTTTGCTGTTGCTTTTCAAACAAAACCACTACAATACTAGCAAGGCAGAGCATGTGCAGAGCATTTTCTCCACAAAAAATAAAAAGAGACTCAGTCAAGTAGATGAATGGAAGACATTAAAAAAATGCAAATCTAACTTAATTTAGTGGTTTGAGCCTTGCAGTAGGGCCACTTCTGCAGCGTAGGCCTATCCAGATATTCAAAATAAGTAAATATTTTACAGATAAACCGAATATCCATGATCATCCGTTTAAATCAGTGTTAAAAGTTACGTCTTTGCACAGTTGTCATATTGCCAATGGTAAAGTGAGCAATTGGTGTTGTAATAGGGTGAGTAAGAGCCTTACTTTAATCTATATTAAGCAGCAACTGTTATTGCATTGCTTTACAACACAAATCTGATGTTTTTTTACAGTCTGTCACTCTCAGTATTTGTCTTTAATTGAGTTTGCTTCATTCTATTGTCAGACCAGATCTTTACATAGAGCTTGTTTCAGTGCAGGCTGACTTCATTATAGTCTCATCTTCATTATAGTCACATTAGAACGGTCTGTGCTTGTTCATTTGGAAACCTGGGAGATTTTCCAGTGACATCAAAGCGCTGGCTACTGTAGGGAAGTGACTGTGAGAAGCTGTAAAAATCAGAGCAATAACCTGTATGCAAAGATCGGGTGTTTGAAAAACTTTCACACCTGATTGACATTTTTAACCTTATTTTTTGATTGTATGCACAGTTTTGTTTTAAATTAGATGAGTATATAATCCTATCGATTGTGATGTTAACTCTTCTATGGTATGTGCTGTTAGACGGACAGGTCTATACCAACTTATGGTCGTTTTGTGGATTTGACTAACCAAGAGCGGCTGTTTCGCATTAATGTTTGACCCACACATGTCAAAGGTGAGTCTTCTAGCGTGAAAGAGGAAGGCCTGTAATCAAAAGGGCACAACTTCTGCAATGATAGAGATATGCCATTCAGTCCGTGTTGATCCCCTTCCAGTGCTTTAGCCAGAATCCTTCCGGCTCTATGTGAAACTCGATCCGTCGCATGGGGTCCATCGCCTGGGGGCTCTCATCCTCTTTCACAACCCATATGCCCACACACTGCCAGTGCCACATCACTGCTGCAAAGTGCATTCAATTGGCATGCTTTTATGCAGCATAACTGACTTATCATCTGGTCCTTCCGCTTTCCACCAAGAGCCCGGACACCCCCTTTGTGTCTTTTTTTTTTTTTTTTTACACACGCAGACACTCTTTCCGTTCTCTTCTCCCTCTCTGTCTTTTGTCAGGACTTTGGCAGTGATTCTTGCTTCACTGAACTGGACATACAGTGCATGACTTGATCTGACATGAAAGCTAAAGGCTAGCTATTATAGCCCTGTATTAGAGCCCATGGGGGGGGGGAGAAGCAGAATATGGCGTAATTCAACAACAACAATAACAGCATCCTCAGTAGCCTATCCTCAGATCCTGAGAGTAAGGAGCAGAGAAAGGGGGAGCGAGAGAGAGAGAGAGAGAGAGAGAGGGAGGGAGGGAGGGAGAGAGAGAGAGGAGGCTAGTCGCATCAGTCAAGAGGAGTAGGCGTGCTCTCTTGTGCGCTGCATCGTTTGATGATCTCCCCGGTTTCACCCCCCTGAAACTCCACTCTCTGCTCTCTGCGGGTGAGGTCTTTGAAACAGAGCGACTGAGCGGACTTTCCCTCTCCGGAGCAGTCGAGCTCGACTTTTCGAGCCGAGCAGCAGAGCCGTGTGCGCCGCACCGGTCAGCGGGGCCACACCGCGGCACTTTGGATAACTCACACAGCTGAGGATCCTGCCGTTTTACCAAGGCACATCGCACATCCCCGCACCAAGAACAGCCGAACACACATTGCCATGAACGATTTAGTCAGTCAGCATAGGTGACTTTTGATTCCTTCCATTTTTTTTTTATTCTCCCTTTCATTTTTTTTTTTTTTTTTTGTGGATTCTCTGGAGGGGGACAAAAAATCCACGGTGGCAGCATAAAGCCCAAAACTCGCACTGTGCGCGTAGGGAGGGTATTTTTGCCCCAAGATGCAGGTGGATCGGAGCTGTGTGGTTTCCAGTGCGTGGTGTGCCTGTCTGCTTTTACTTTTCTCAACTCTAAGCACCAGGGTCACTGGGGTGGGAGGAACCCACCAAAGCATCCCTCCGTCCGTGTAAGTAGATGCTCTTTTACGCAAAGGCGCCGCGCATCACTTGATTCTCCAAGTTTGATTCTCCAAACCAGAACTTGATTTAAAAAATACGCTAGCTGTCTGAGTCTACAGACATATTTGATGGCTTATTGCGATTCGGTCCTTGAATGGTTGCCACTGCTGTTTTGAGTCTGATGCTTCCTCTATTTTCAATTTTCTGTCTTTTTGTTTAGCAAGTATAATAAAATATAAAAATGACAGGCTGGCAAATGAGTGCTCTTGCAAAATTAGTGAAAAAGCAAGACTAGTCAATACTTTTAAGTCAGGTGTTAACTGCTCTAAGTTGTGACCTATTACTGTATATATGGAGTGTTTTATTTGTCTGATTGCTTGTCTGTGTGGCTCTCTGCAGGGTGAAGCTTTGGGCTTCAGCGTTTGGGGGGGAGATGAAGTCCATTTCTGCAAAGTACTCTGGCTCCCAGCTGCTGCAGAAG